AGGCCTTGTTCATATGAAACCACCCGAACCGCGATTCGGGTAACTCGCATTCCGCACATCTGGTCCACGTGCCATACATTCCTTTCAAACCGTGCCCGATCGCGATTCTCCAAAACTGCATTAATTGTTATTTGATTAAAACACGCAAGGTAGCGTGTTATTAATGTCAGAGGTCAACGACCTGCTTGCTGGTGCCCCCCTCCCAGCGTACCTCAGCCAAATGCCGACGTTGTCCCGCCAGAGGCGTTGAAGCTCGTCCTAGAACGGACACATTATTTGACCATAATTTACTGCTCTTTAGGTTGCTGCCACGTAAAATTTGGTATTGCATATAAATAAAGAAATATCACCCCGTAATCCATGACCAGGTGACGTCACATTGAAATCACATTGCGTTCAGACGCAAACCGCGATGCGGGAAAACCGATTTGAAACCACCTCTAGAAATGGTTTGGGATCGAGGCGCTTTCAATGTGATTTGGAGCGTTCAGATGGAGCCACTTGAAACCGGCTTCGGGAAAACCACATGTAAAGCACCTTCACTGACTTCACATGAACAGGGGAATGTCCCCGGCGGAGAAGTTCTCAGGTGTCTCTGAACACGCCGGGTGTCTGTCCCTCTCTGCCGACGAAATGTCGACGTCATTGCGATTGACCTCATCTGTAAGTTTGTAGACAAAAACAACCAACAGCAATACTACCGACGGCAACTGGATGGAGCCCTTTTTTTCATAAGAGTCTTTCAGCCCCTCCTCTGGAAAATCGTGTGAAGTAGCCCAGATTTACTGCCAACATGAAAAACAAAAAGTCAAAACGTCCTTTTAACTCACATTGCAAGTTTAAGTTTATTTTTTGGAGAACAGGCAAAAATCAATCGGCACGCAGGTGTCATCTATAAAATTATGATAGTGTGGCCTTAATTAAAAACACTGTTGATCATTTGTTGGTGCAAAATGAAATGTAATAGCATACTATAAGTGTTTCATAAGTGAGTCATATTTCATTCTATACAAACCCAGGTTTAACACAACTCAAAGACATAAGGTTATTGAAAATTCATTTTATTCAAGTGCTATGTACAAGTATTCAAACCACCCAAAGTAAGATAGCTGTGAATAAAGCAAGGACTGGTATGCCTATGGCTCATATACAAATGTATGTGTACAACATTAGAAAGTAAGATTACCTTTATGTAAAGGTATCTTCTAATCACATTATTAAAAGCTCGTACCTCAACTAGTAATAAATGACTTCAAAAGATATACAACCTGCTTATTTTGCAGATAACATGACAACTGCAGCTAATATACAAAATACGGTCACTTGAATATTGTAAAATAACCCAAAACACACATACAGTAACATTTGATAAAATCCAGATTGTCATTTCAAATATTGGCATCCATGATTGTGCAAGTCAGGCAAATATACATCCAAAAATTTATTACAACAGTCCAACTACCAATTCCAAGAAATTACATGTACCTTTTTTAAATCTATTTATACATAAAGCAAGATTGGACTGTTGTATTAAGTTAGCAGCATCCTGATGAATGTACAGATTGACCTAGGTCATGAGTAGATTATATTGCCATTTAGTGGGTTACCATCATCTGAAATATTTGGCACTCCCCCTAAGGCCACAACACAAGTACTTGGACTTGGAGGGCAAACTTCAAACATGTGTGCATGCAATCAATCATTAGGACATGTCTGTTGTTACTTTTTTTAGTTCTCTCTTTTCACACTTTTCCGTAGGACTGCCCTGAGTTTCTCTACTGCCTCCAGCCGGCCTCCTGCCACGCTTTCATCCACACAGCCCCTCAACAAAGGTTCTAACACCTTTGCCTCCTGCTCCGGGGGCCCCCACAGGAGTCCTGGAGGTTTGACATGACCCTCTGGAGGACGATGTTTGTGAGGCTCTGGATCCATTGGGTTGGCTTGCGACAGGTGTTCAGGGAGGTACGACAGTAAGCGAACACAAGCCACAGCATACATCATCTGGGAGTACTGAGGAATGTCTGAACAAAAGTCATTGTTGTTCACGATGTATCCTTCTACTTGAGCACGAAATGCTTTGAAATGTTCAAAGTTACGTGGTTCTGTCAACTCCTCCACAATACTCTCCTCCCTGTCAAGCAGCATGACGTCGTCAAAATCAATCAGACTCAGCCGCCCGTAATCGTTCACTGCAAAATTGTCGTAGCGGAAGTCGAAGAAGATCACCATCCAGTTTGGGTCACTGTTTCGAAAGTTGTCGATCATGTCTAAGAGCTGTAGTGCTATGTTTGCTCTTTCTTTCCAAGGAGACTCCAGGCTTGAATCCAGGAGCTTTCCACCACTCTCCACAAAGATGACTCGTCCACAGGCACCAAGGTATTTGGGGAAGGGCCAGTCTGTTTCAGACTTAGTGAAGTACTTTCAGCAGCGCAGCCTCTGCATTTATTAGTAAGGCTGTTAGCATGTAGGATCTCTCAGTCTTACTCAGCTTCTTATTTTCATTCTCATCAAACACTGTCTGGATCAATTCAGCTAATTTACTTGTCATACAGGCCTCCATTGCTACAGATCGCCTAGTGTGAGCTATCTGCCATGCGCCTTGTAGCCATGGTACTTGTAGGACATCATCTGTCACTAGTACTGTTTTAGAGATCATATCTGAGACATCACAATCTTTAGGCATACTAGCATTTTGGCAAATGAACTCGTCAAATCTCATCCAGCCATCCTTCTCAGCAAGTCGTTTGGCAACTACGTCTGTATCTTTTAAATGTCCAAAGTATACCCCTTTGTGCTCTAATGTTTTATCAGCAATGTCTACTGTGATGATACCTACATCTGCCTGTTCACAGAGTGATTCTCCAAAACACGCAGGACACTTCTTGGCCTCCATGAGGCGCTTGAAAGTCAGGTACTGTTCAGGTCGGACCTGGGCATCTTGTATCTCGTCATGGGCTGCATTTTCTACAGCTTTCCAAGTGTGCTGAAGCTTTGGATTTGCTTTTGGGTTGTGGATATTAATCTTAATAACGTTTGCTTTTGCTTGTGCTTCCTTGGCTAAGGCTTCTCCACGTTCCTTCACGATTCGGTGAACCTAGAAATGAGATATTAATATATGATAATTTTGAAAAATTTTAAATTCAAGTAACTTATACCGGTATGGTGAAGAGAGAAATCCAACACGATGCACAATCTTCTCTAATGCCAAGCCTATTTAATTTCTCACATTCGCTATCTTTGATTAGTTTGAAATTCTAAGGAGGTTAGATTTAACATCAACAGTAAATACCTCCTCTGCTTTGTGTCTCAGAGCTTCTCGCATCCTCTTCTCATCTATGCCCTGGGCAAGAAGTTCTTGAATACTCTGTGCGAATTTCTTATCCCCAACGTTTGATATTGCCTTCCTTGTTTCCGAGTCATCTTTAACCTGCCAATAGTTGCGTACTACAAAACCGACAGCTAACAACAAAGTCAGGAGGAATAAAACCCGCGATCCCCCAGAGTAATGCAGCTTGCGACACCATCGCCTAGCGGACGCCATGATGACCGAATCCATTGCTGGTCAAAGTTCAGGGCATCAAGATACTAGTACCAAAATCCAATCGTACGTAGAGGGTGAGCGAGCGTACATGTGTACTAAACTGGTTTGTTCAGATCGATTCACCCCAACACTTTCGCACTTCCGGGTTCAAAAGTCAAATTTTTCAAACTCTCGCACGTCTAAAACCAACTCTCGCGAAACGCGAGATTCTCCGAGACCAATTAAGAAGAGCGCCAGTTGTTGTTGTTGGCAAATCTTTTTGACATCTCAACGCGCAAGTAACAGCGATAAACAGGTTTGTACGCTTGAATTTGCACTTCAGTTTTTATCTTTGAGTAATTTATCATGATTCTATGGTGCATTTTGCGGAGTTGAGGAGTGTTTTTGTGGGGAAATTCGTCTTTTTGTGGAGATTGGCCAGCGGCCGCCATTTTGTTGTGTGCTCCGATTGGCTGTGTTGCGAGCTGGCTGTGTGATTGGTGAAATGTCCGAGCCCGGCCCAACTCAGGTGTGCATTGGTCACTCTCAGGTGAGAAAAGGCGGGTGCTTCCACAAATTCTAAGGCGTCTGACCGGAGAAGCAATACGTAAAGACGTACGGAGAAAGTATTCAGGGGAGAAATGGCAAAGTGCGCTTAACTTATACAAATGTACCTGTGTCATATTAATTGTAGAATTTCAATGGCGCCGGGCGTCTATACGTCTACCTTGCAGTATTCAGTAGACGTTTAATAGTACTATAGTAGTGCATCCACTTGCAATTTCATGTATCGTGTGTTCACGTACTTTGTACATTTATGCTCAGACGAGAGACGTTGGCGGAAGATGATCACGTTATAATTATATAACGTGAAAGCTATCCAGGAATTCTTCCACTTCCAGTGAAGTGTGCAACGTACTAGTACGTCCCTCAACAGTAAATTCCCGATACCAACAAAATAATCATGCAATAAAATACATGAATGTTTGAAAAAATGACTCTATACTGTCAGGTGATTTTTTTTCCTCATTGAAAACTCTTTTGTTTCATATTTATTCTGGTCATGACTGAAAAGTGAAATGTTACATCAAGGAGGTTTCAAATTGTAGAAACAGCATATGTTGCCTGGAACATAGTAACTTGCTCGTTATAGGTTACAAAAAGTGCAAAAAAAAACAACAATTCCTTCAAAGGCAACATAATGACTGTAAAGATGACTTATCTAAAGGGGTTTAAAATTTGTACTACATTAGAAAATAAAGAACAGAAATATGTCCGTGACTTCTAAGTTGTAGAATTAAATTTTATTGAATTTCTTGTGGACAATTTTTTTAAGTAGTTGTGTATCCTAACCTTCTTTCAAATTCAAACTAGTGATGTGTTCTTGCTGTGTTTGTCATATCCATGTCTGTCCAGTATTATATAAATCA